TAATTTGTAATTCTGGCCAGCATATAAAATTTGGCCTGTATTACATTTAAATGACCAAATGACAAATGACCTCAAATAACCGGGTCATTCGAAGGTCAATCAGAGGTCTAGTGAAACGATCCGGATTATCCGCGGATAAAATTATTCATCCGTCAGTTAAAAAATGATCCGGATGATAATTATACATCCGCTGAAAACCAAATAAATAATTCGCGGATTATGAGCCAAATATCCGCGAATTATCAACAGATCGCATTGATAGTAGCAAATCCGCGAATATTCGCATATTCGTTGATAGACCTAATATTATCTATCTGGTCTTTTTCTAAAGAATTATACACACATTTTATATTTTATATATTTATCAATTTGTTTTAAACACATTTTCCATTATAAATTATAACCAAATTTACAATACTAGAATTTTTTGGTGGAGATGAATATTTTAACAAATATTGCACTTTTCTTTAGTAAAGTATTTCCGGAATGAGTTAGAACAAAATTACGATCTGAAAAGTCATTGTAATTTGAATTTATTGTATATAGCTATGTAAGGATCGGGCTGTTTATGGTGGAATTTTCAAAAAATTATGTTATATGCGGTGTTTTAGTCAATTAAAATAAATTTTTTGAAGCTTTTCTTAATATTCAATCACAATTTTCTTTATAATAAACCTTTAAATCTTTATTTAAATATATCGGATCTTATTGTAATTATTTGTATTATGCTTTATTGAATGTTAAAGTTCAAATAAAAGTTGTAATAAATTATTGCGGATATCTGCGGATTTGTATTAATTTGCAAATATCCATTAATATTTGCGGATAATCCGCGGATAAAATTTCACAAATCCGCAGTACTTAAATGTGATCCGAATATTTGCATTATCCGGTTATTATCCGTCATTTCAAAATGGCCAAATGACCCGGTCATTTGCCATCACTGGTATCGTAATTATTATAATTTTTTATATTAAATTTATATAAATTCCATTTTTTTCAGCATATTATCTTTTTAGTATATTTTTTAAATTTTTTATTTTCAGTATATGATTTTCTTTTAATAATGGAATGCTTATAAAATAAAAACAATTTGTTAATATAATTTTTAAATAATCAACAAAAAAACTTCATTAGTGTTCGTTGATTATTGTGAAAGAGTGAAAGTGTTTTTTTTATATTAAAGCGAAATATCAATGTTCTAAGATCTTTCATAAAATTATTTTTTTATCGTTCGAGAGATCGCTCGTTCGAAATGACGATATAGAAAATCGTTCAATAAAATAATGAAAAATAAAAATAGCATCTACTTATTATATTTAATTAGAAATATATTAACAATATTATTGACAGAAAAAATTATAATGTTCATTTTCTTTGAATATATGGAATAGCAAGAGATGAATCGATAGGCTTTGTATATTGCCAAAGGTTTTAACACACTGAATTGCGTATACATATATTTTGTGTTGATAATGTTACTGTATATTTGATGATATAGCTGTAGCAGCTTTCCCAAGTTTGGTTTAGGATAGTTTTGGAATCTTAAATTATACTAAATACGATCCATAACTGTGGCTAAAGATTTAGGAATGGAAATAAAAAGTATTTTGCGTTTTCAAGTTAACATTACACGAAATCTCTGCTCATATTTATTAAAAAAATAAATTTTATTGTTTTGCAAGAAATGATTATTGCAAATATCAACATTACTGATGCATTTTTACGAATTTTTATATTGAAAAGTCGATGCTATCATTTTACTTACTTTGTATTAAATTTAACAAATTATTCTAATTTACTAATACTTATATCACACTACGTGATTTGTGAAGAAAGAAAATAATATTGATTTTAATCAGATTGTATGAAGCTTTAAAATTTAAATAGTTTATACTTCTTGAAATTGCTCAATTACAAACTGACTTTATTTATGTAAAGAAAAGTTACATATACTCTATATTCAGTGTTAAGCAATACATATATATTTCCTAGTTTCATAAAAATAATAAATAAAGTAACTTTCTTAAATTCTTATTAGTGCAAGCACATTAATGATGAGTTATAAAATTACAAACGATCGCTTGATTTCTCCATTTAAATTCTTAATTTTTTGGTTTTCATCGTTGTTAATATTTTCTACTTCATTTCCTCCAACATTAATGTAAATGTTGTCATTATTAGTATAAAAAGTTTTGTTGAGTTTTGTTAAGTTTGCATTAAAGTCTTTAAGATCATTAAAGGTTATTTTAAGGCTATGAGACATCATTGGGCAAAGTTGCAATAACTTTGGTTTTGTTTGATGAAGGAATCTACGCCAACCATGGGTAACCTCGCAGCGTACTATTTGAGTAATAGTAATACAAAATCCTTGCATCTCTTTCTTAGTAAGCCACTGACCAGAATGGGGTCCAGGGGCAAAACTTTCTCTATTGCTGCCATCCTTATCAAGGTTATTATCAACGTATTGATATAACCAACGCTCCCCTTTAGTATTAGGACCTTTATAAGATAATTTCCATTCATTTGATGAGAATTTGGTATTATGAACCTTTTTTATTCCACCATTTATACCAGCTATACTGCCGCTCGATGTTCCAACTTGTAAATTAATATTTTTTTCATTAGCTGTTAAAAATTCAATTTCTCGATTTGATTGTGTTGGTTGTGATATGCCTGTTGGGTGGAAATTTCGTATTTTTTTTTCAGGTATTGGTGAAATATTAACTTCAATAGAATGAAGAAAATAACCAAAACCTATCCTTTTTAGTAATGGCCAATTATTACTAAGCATATCTCCTATTCCACAACCATTTACATTAATTTCATAATTTAGAATTCCGACATCCTCTTCAAAAGGAGCGGTGTTTGCCCAAATACTAGCAGTGATATTAAAATCTTGAACGATACCTAAATTTATAACTTCAGCATTTACAATAGAATCAACATAAATCTTTTTATTTATATTATCTTTTCCATTACCGTTATCACCACTATCACCATCACCACCTCCATTGCTATCTCCGTTACCATTACTATTATTACCACCACCTCTTCCTCCTCCTCCATTGCTTTCTCCGTTATCATTACTACCATTATTACTATTACCACTATCACCATTATTATTACTATCATCACTTCCACCATCTGCACTATTATTACTACTGCTGCCATCATTGCGATTATTATTACCATGACCATTATTGTCATTATCATTACCATTATTTTTATCTTCACTATGGTCATTACTATTACTTACTTGTCTCTTCTTTAAGCCTTCTTTATCATTTGAAAAGGGATAATTAGTTGTATAGTTATCACCCAATATCCCGTCATCGTAATCATTATTATTTAATAATTCATTATTATCACTATCATGTATATTCATAGGTTTTACTATTTGGTATATAACTTCAAACTGATCTTCAAACATATTTTCAAGACATTCTAGAATTGTTATATCAAGAGGCTCAGCAACCCAACAGGCAATACATGGATTAGTAGAATTTTTTTGAAAATCAATTCCTATGGCATACACAGGCTGTGATTTTAATATACAATCAATATCATCTTTTCGGCTAATAAGTAATTTCTGCAATTTCTCAACTTCAATATATGAATTTGCAGAAATTCCAGGAGAAATAGTTGCCTTTAATGAAATAAATTCTGAAATGACTTTATCATTTGTATTCAAAATATTCGATTTAATACTATTACTAACATTAACAATAGGCTTATTAAACTGAATACAATTAAAAGGATTATCTATAATTTGGTTTTCAACTAATTCATCATTAGTGTTCTCTATAGCTTCTATATTTATATATATTTGAAAAGGAAACTTTAGTAATTAACATTATAATATATATTAAATAAACTAATATATATACATACTTAATAATTCATCATTTCCAATAAAAAATTTGTTATTTGGTCCAGCTAATTCATTATACCATTCTAATGCTTTAGTTTCATCTTTTTCAACACCCCATCCATTTTGATAAAAATTACCCAAATTAAATTGTGCAATTTCATTACCATTATATGCAGATTTTTGGTACCAGTAAAATGATTCTTCTAAATCTTTTTGTATTCCTATACCATGCTTATAAAAAAATCCTAAATAATTTTGTGCATCATTATTATTTTGATTAGCTGATTTTTCATACCATACAAATGCTTTAACTTCATCTTTCTTAACTTCCCATCCATTTTGATAATATAAACCTAACTTACATTCTGCAAATTTATTATCATTTTCTGCTGCTTTTTGATACCAATATAAAGCTTTTTTTAAATCCTTTAGTACTCCTATACCATTTTCATAAAAATATCCTAATTTATTTTGTTCATAACTATTATTTTGTTTAGCTAAAATTTCACATAATTTAAATTCTTTAACCATATCTTTATAATAATATAATTCTAAATTATATTTTGCAAGTTTATTTTCATTTTTAGCTGCCTTTTGATACCAAAAATAAGCTGCTTTTATATCTTTTTGTATTACTATACCATTTTCATAAAAATATCCTAAATAATTTTGTGCATCACTTTGATTTTGTTCAGCTGATTTTTTAAACCATTTAAATGCTTTAAATTTATGATTTTCATCATTTATCCATTCATATAAATAATATAAACCTAATTTATATTGTGCAAATTTATTACCATTTTCTGCTGCTTTTTCATACCAGAAAAAAGCTTTATTTTTTTCCATTTGTATTTTTAATCCATCCTCATAAAAATATCCTAATTCATCTATTTCAATATTCTTTTCAAAATCTATACTAAATATATTTAATAAAAATAGTCAATTTTTAAAAATTATATATATATATAATAAATAATCAAAATTAAATAACTTACATTATATTAATAATTTTTAATATTAAATTTATAATCAAAGAATTTTTATTATAAATTAAATAATAAAAATAATAAAAATTATATAAAATTATAATAAAATAACATACCAACTATAATTTTATCATTTAATAATTATTTAATTAATGATTTATTTGAATCAATTTATAATAAATAACTTAGTTAAATAAAATAACTATTAACTTACATTCTAATATTAAATATTATTTTAAAACAAAATTTTAAATTAAATTTAAATTATAATAAAAATATAATTAAATAATAATAAATAATAATATACTTTACCATCTAAATTGTTAAAATATATTTTTAATAAATTTATTTATTGTAAATTAAATATGAATAATTAATAGAAATAACTTACCATCTAAATTTATTAAGTATTTTAAATAAAATTCAAATAAGTTTAATTTATTTTAAAAATTATAATAAATATAAATAATTAATAAATTTACTTTCCATCTATTATATTATATTTATTTAATTATTAATTAAATATAAATTATAATAATAATACAATTAAATATAAAAAATTACTTACAATCTATTATATAATTAATTATTAAATATATTTAAATTATAAAAAAATATATATCATTATAATAAAAAATTATAAAAAATAACTTACATACTATAATGTTAAATATTAATAATATAAAAAAATAATATAATTAAATTTAAAATATATATAAATTTAAAAAATTTAAAAAATTTAATTAAAATAACTTACATTCTATAATTTTAATTATTAAAATAAAATTAATTAAATTTAAATTACAATAAAATAAATAATTAATAAAATAACTTACTAGCTATTATATATTTATTTTTTAAATAAAAAATTATATTAAGTTCAAATAATTATAAAGTATAATTAATATAAATAATTAATAAAATAACTTACAAGCTATATAATATAAATATTTTTATTAGAAATTTAAAGTAAAAATTAAGTAAATAATTAATAAAAATTACTTACGAGCTTTATAATATTATAATAATTATTAAAATTCAATTAACATTAATTAATTAATAAAAATAATATTAATAAATATTAATAAAATTAATTTACGAGCTAAATAATATTAAATAAATTAATTTAGTTAATTAATATTATAGTAAAAATAGAAATAAATAGAAATATCATAAGTAAATTATATTATAAATTATATAAATGTTTGTTAAAAATCAAGTTCTATATATTATTAAATTTAAGCTTTTAATTTAATTATAAAATTTTTAAAATCTAATTTTTTTAATAATCTTTTATATAATTTATTTATCTTATAATTTGATTTTATTAATAATATTTTAAATAAAATATAAATAATTAATAAAAATAACTTACAAGCTATAAAATATTATAATATTTTTATAATAAATTAATAAAATTATTTAATATTTAATATTACATATAAATAATTACTTACTTCCTATAAATATTAATTATTAAATATATTTAAAGTAAAATTTTAATTTAGTATAAATAATATTCAAAATATAATTAAATATAATAATTAATAAGGTGACTTACCAACTAATATATTATTAATTATAAATTATTTTTTAATAAAAAATTTAAATTTAAATTAAAATATAAATATTATATAAAATTATTTATTTATTTAATTAAATTATAATAAACTTACGAGCTATTTTATATTATAAAAATAAAATAAAAAATATAATAAAATTAAAATTAAATTTTAATTTGTGATATGATAAATATAAAATATTAGTAAATAAATTAATAAATATAATATTAAATTATAATAAAAAATATAACAAATATAAATAATTAATAAAAAATACTTACGATCTATATTATATTATAAGTTTAAATAAATTTAGTTAAATATAAATTATAAATAAATTAATTAAAAATAACTTACATTCTAATTTATTATAAGTTATTTTAAATAAATATTAGTTAATAAAATATATTATATATAACTAAATTTATTAATTTATAGATCTTACCATCTAAATTATTAAAAAAAAATATATTTTTATTTATAATTTGTATTAAAATAAAAGTATAATTAAAAAAAATAATAATATAACTTACTTTCTATAATTTTAATTTTTAAATTTTATTTAATAAAAATTTTATTATTTATAAATTATAAAATATATAATTAAAAATATATAATTAATAATAGTTACTTACTAACTATATTATTATTATTTATTAAATATTTTTTAAATAAATTAATTAGGTTTATATTATTATAAAAATAAAATAAAAATATAAAAATAATTTACGAGCTAAATAATATTATATTATTAAATAAATATTTTAATTAAATAAAATTTTATTATAATTAATTATAATATTAAATAATATTAATAATATAAATTTAATATAAATAATTAAAATAAATTACTTACGATCTATAAAATGTAATAATTTTTTAAGATATATTAATTTAATTTAATTTAAATAATAATATAAATGATAATAAAATATTAATATTAATAATTAATAAAAATAACTTACAATCTAAATTAAATATATTTAAAAAATTTTGTTAAATTTTAGATATATTAAAATAAAATTAATTATAAAAAATTTATAAAAAATTTTACAATCTAAATTAAGATTTTTTAGAAATAAATAATTTAAATATTTTATATTATATAAATTAATATGAATTATTTATTTAAATACTTACAAACTATATATTATAATAATTTTAAATTATAATTAAATTTATAATTATATAAATTATTAAGAAAATACTTACATCCTATATTTTAAATATTTTATTAATAAAATTTATTTAATTTAATTTGTAATAAAATACAATCAACTCTTGATATAGCGAACTCTTAATATAACGAATTTTTTGAATAAATATAATAAAAATACTCTTGTTATAGCAAATTGGCCAATCAAATCTCTTAAAATCTTCACTATAGCCTTATAGCGAAGTTAAGGTCTAGGATATAGAGTTCGTTATAACAAGAGTTGACTGTAGAAATAATATATTTTAACTAAAGAAGTAAAAAATAAAAAGCATGAAGTTAAATTAATACAAAGAAAGGCCAACTTTCTAATTTTTTAGTTTTTTAACTTATATTTAAATTTAGATTAATAGTGAAGGAGAATACTTTTTACATTTTAATTTTTTGAGTATATATTTTCTTAATCAAAAGCATTTGAGAATAAAAAAATTTTTGAAAGTTATTATTAAAATCTTTTATTATTTAAAAAAAACTTTTCACCATTCTTTTTATCAGGAACTATATGTAATATGCTATAGTATACTATAAAAAGATATATATACTTACTATACTTACTTATATATATATATTATTAATATAAATTATCCTTTTTATGTAAATAATTAGATTAGTTATTCACTAACATTCATAATTAATTTATCTTTTTTGTGAAATAAAAACTTATTTTAAATTATATATCTTTTTACTAATGTCATTTATCTAAATCATTATTTTATATATCTTCACTTCTAAAAATATCTAATCACTTAACTTTTTAATATTTTATATTAATATTTTATTAGCTATAGTGACTACCAAAAGAAATGCAAATGTGATTGGTTACTTTTGAATAGTTATAACTCATTAATCACAAATGCTAGAAACATAATCTTATACTTGTTTTAAAGCCCAAATCTTGAAGAATATTCTGGTGAAATCTAGTATTAAGTTAATAATTCTAAATTTTGAGTAACTTAGCAATCTACATCAAAATTTATTACATAGTAAAGTTCAGGTATAGAAAATTTTTTAAGCATACTAGCTATTCAAAACTGATACTGGATTTTGATTCTCCTTGATGCAGCAATTCTAACAAACTAAATTTTATAGAAATTGGACTAGCTAATCAGAAATTATCATGCAGCAAAGATCAGCAAATTATTATATAAAAAGTAGCTGATATTAACGTTACTCTTTTCTGTCAAAAAAGTTAACTATGATTTGAAGTTAGGGAGACAATAGC